TTACATGTCCCATGTCGTAATTTAATTGACATTTTGTTCATGAAACCAGAGATTTACGCTTAGTATTTGTAAATATTATTTCTCGTCTAATGAATATTCATCATGAATATTCATTAATAACATCAAGGATTTTCCCGCGCTTCGGGCACTACACTGCTGGATCCATACGTGTCCGCAAAATAGTGCAATATTAAATCAACTATCAGCGATTAAAACAATTCTTCATTTTAGCACATTCAAAAAAATTAGGAAACAGCATTAAATAATATACGTTCTGTATTGATATATTAACATGTAAAAAATGCCTGAATATCATGGTATGATTGCGCATGAATTCACACCGATCTAGGAAGAAGGCAGAGAGGGATAGACTGCACACTGAGAGAAGGGAAAAGGCCGAGATATACCAAAATCGATTGAAAGAAGACTCAGAAAGGTGAATATGAATATTAGCATGATAAGGTAGTGTTTATAAACAGAATTATTGTTGTTGATATTCGTTTAGTGAGGCGGATAAGAAAACGCATCCCCCGCTTGTGGCTATCGCGGGTCGGCCATCTTGGTAGAAAGAACAAAAAACAAAAAGTTATTTACTTGTTGTCTTCGATTTAAACACATCTCTTTGTTATTGACGTTAAATTATTTTGCATTTGTATAGCCTTCAATACGAAACGAACTTAGGGTATTTACTTTGGGAACTACGATATATGATGAGAATTGGTTAACTTTAGTTGGTTAGAGTATATGATTATGAGAATCGATTTTGTGCATTCGAGATTTGCTTCATAATGTGATCATGGTGATTGAGAACTGAACATTAGAAAATATGAGAATCTCTTGAAAGTATACCAAATTGACTTGAAATATTTGAGAACTATTTTTGAGAATAATTTGAACATACGAGGGCCGTTCAAAAATTACGCGGACTCTGCTATTATTTGCTCTTATAGACGTCATATAGATTTGAAATTTTACAGGAACATATTTCTTCAAAATTCCAATAAATTCTTGTTAAAAATTTTTGATTTTATTTAATATCTCATAAAATTATTGCCGTTTTGATACTGCTGATGGTGATATACGGAGCACGGCAAAAATGTTGAAAACCAAACATTCGGTATCCAAAATTTTATTCATTTATTTTCCATATTTCACGATATTATTCAACAATTTTCTCTAATATTTCTTTTTATTGTTTTATTATTAAGTATTTAGATTTCTGGCGTAATATTTGAAGTACTAACAGAAATATTGTAATTTTTCTCCGATGTGACCCCTACGAAATCAATTGCAAAAATGACGTCTCGTGATTTGACGGAGCAGCGCACTTTTATCAAATCATGAATCATGCTGGGAAAACGCAAATAGAGACCTAAAATAACCCTAATGAAACATGTAGTAAACCAGAGGAATATCCGACTCATCTCTACAAAATGTAAAAAAGAATTTTAAACTGTTAGACCTCGGTCAAAAGGCAATCCGGGAGGGATGGAAGAAGTTCATCGACAAAACACTGATCTGGGCTGTTAAGAATGTGATTGAGATCGACTGACGTCAAACTTTACTTCAGAAATATCTGCAGTTTTGGGGTTTAACACAAACTAAAACACACAATAATAGTTTTATAGTTTTTAAGCTGAATCGGAAATGGTATATGGATGTTTATTCTGAGTGGATAAGGTAACCCAAACTATACAGTATCAAATACTAAGGGAAAATATCGAGAAAATGAAAGCTCCCATTTTTAAAAATGCCCATAACGTTGAAAGTTACTGCGCCGTGACTTCATGACATGTCCTGTTAAATCACTTGAAATTGTTACCAATTTACAATATTTTTATATGAAATTTTGATGATCATATCTGAAAAGATTCTTTTATATTATCTATGACTTTGTGCTTGATTATGTCGTCAAATATATTTTCTGTGCAACAAGTCCCCGTAATTTTTGAACGGCCCTCGTACAAGAACTTTCTTGAAATATCTGAGAGAACTTGAGCATTTCATTATTTGAAAAAAAAAAATTGAACATTAATTAGAAAACATTAGAGTCTGAACCTTTTGAAACATGCAACTTGAGATTTTCATACAAGACTTGCCTGAAGTATCTTTGCAATTGAACAATTCATATCATGATTGAGAACTTTTAAACATAGTAATATATGTTTTAAGGTTCATTAACTTGATATACCTTACAATCACGATGATGTTTTTACATTCTTGAGCATTGGAACAATCATTTGACAAAAATGACACAAGAGAAATATTTGAAGAAAACAGTATATGAGAATTTGTTTAACACACAAAACCTGACCTGTCTCAGAGCTGAAGCATTTAATAGATGTATTAGACAGAATTGCTAATCCAAAAATATATGAGGATTTTTTAGCAATCAGGACTAACTAAAAAGTAAAATTGTGGGGTGAAGAGAAATCCATTAACTAAATAAATGGTAAGAATAGTTTTAACTTGAAGAATCTAAATATACATTACAATCTTTATGTAAGATTAATCTCTGAACAGCTGTACCCCAATTTATAAGGTATCCAAATGTAAATATGATGTCCCTCATTTTTTGAGCATTAGAAGTTTGTGATTTATAAAAAAAAAGTAGAACTTTATAAGAATTTTGAGTGTTTCCTTTGGACTTAAGTGATAAGGTTCCTTCAGATTGACTAGATATTGCTGCCTTGTAGCCTTGGAAATGTTATTGCTTGGATTGTGAGTAATCTAAAGAAACACGTCCCAAATAAAAATCAAAATGGATGAATTACATACTTTAATACCCTCCTCAGTTATACAGGGTGGTCACTCTCAAGGTTCTTAATTTTCCCTTTAAGCTCAAGAGGAAAACAGTGTATGAGCATGAGTTTACCTTTCCTTGTATTTTGTCATGCACAGACAAATTGTACATTTACAAAACATGATCTGAATTCAGTTTTGGAAGCTGGTGATATATTGTATCATGATATTGTCAAAGAACATTCCTTTTTGCTTGCTTCTGAGTTGCCAAACTATATTGAGTTCAAAACCAATTTCTATTCCTGTTTTGTGCAGAAAACATATTATGGAAATATGGCATATATGTCTGTGTTAAATTCCGAGACGGGAGTAGTAAGGGGTATAGTCTGGGGTCTATTTGGGGTCAATGACGTCATGGGTCCGTCTGGGGTCACCCATCCCATCAAGCCGTCTGGGGTCAATGACGTCATGGCCCATCCCATAAAACCGTCTGAGGTCACACATTCCATTAAAGCGTTTGGGGTCACCCCCATCCCATCAAACCGTTTTGGGTCACCCATCCCCTCAAAAACTGTCTAGGGTCACATAAATAATCACCAACCACTCCCAAAGCCGTCTGACGATCTATATAAGGAGAAGAGACTAAAATATATAATAATTCTTTATAAAACAGCAAAATGGATGATTATTGGAGCAGTGAGGATATTCTATGCAATGATGAGATATACTTTAGAAACTTTTTGAAGTGGGGAGCCATTGTCAAAAAACGGATTGATAAGTATATTGCAGATAATGGAGATTGCCGGTCCTGTGACTTTTGTAAAAAGCAATATTCTTTGAGAACGAAATTTGTACACGAGAAACATTGTTTGGTGAAACTGGCCAAGGAATCAAAACTCGATCCATTGAAGATGGCAACCTTTTGCTTGCGCGCATGTGATCTTGAAGATGTGTCTTTGGAGGAACCAATGGAGTTCTCAGAAGTCCTGAAAACTATCATGGCCGACCGTGTACCGTACAGCATCATGAAAGACGCTCATTACGAATCTCAAATTGAAAGTTACTGCAACGGTACGATGACTTTCTTGTGGCCTGATGGAACTTGGCGACACGAAGAGTATTGGGGTGATTGGACGCCCAGTGAACAACAAATTAGTGCATAGACTCATATTCATGATTAGTTTGTATAAATAAATTGAAGGAAGAGTGAACATTAGTATTTTAGATCGATCTCTTTTTGTGAACAGACACTCCTTTAGTGAAACAAAATGAAACCAGTGCAAAGGAATATTCAATTTAATGATCGTGTACATATAATTGCAATTCCTTATGAAGAACGGAAAGGAATATGGATGCAATATGCTGTTGACAGGGCTCATTTTAAAAGAAGAATTGATCATGTCGAGATATTGTTGTCACCTATCCTACTTCAAAAACTAAATAACATCAAAATGTCTGAGGTCAAGTGTAATTAAAAAAAAAAAGGGAGTGACGAGGACTGTCGTGTATATAAACCGAGGTGTTTTTTGCGTAAGACATCATACCTTTTGCTGAAAATGGAAGGTCTGACAATGGAAAGACAATTAAGAAGAACAAAATTGCAATGGAACAGAATGTGTAAAAACATTTTTAACGTTTTAACCAATCGAAAAGAAGAAGAGCTGCTGATACACATTACACGTCTGATGAAATGCGTTAGAAGCGCACTTGCTCTTAAAACACAAGTCAAAATTATGAAAAGAGATGATATTAAAGTGGGCGCTTCAGACTGGAGAAAACTTAAAGATCTAGTGGACCAGTTTAGGGAACTGTCAGAAAAAATGGATTACAGTCTTCACTGGCTTATTCATAGAAAAGAAAAAGTACGTCATGGAAATCCGCTTTATGTGTTGAGAGAAATGGCGGATACTGTGGAAGATATTATGAATATAATATCAGAAACTCTTCACTACATTAAAAAAAAAGTGAAAGAAAAACTAAATACTATCAAAATGTCTACCGTCAATTCAGTATACAGTCAGGATTTACTATTATCTCCAAGAAAAATGTCTACAGTCAATTACGTCTGAGATCAATTCCGTCTGCAGTCAAAATTGTCTGCAGTCACTTTTTTTAAAAAGAAAAAAACACTCCTTTTTATGAAAAGTCTAAGGTCAATCAAGCACGTGACAATTTTGTTATAAAAACGGGTTTATTGTAAAAATTTCCAACATATCTGAATTGATCGTAAAAGAAGCATCACCCTCTCTTCAGCAAAGATGGAACAGAAACATCAGGATATAATCAAAGCAAACTACACGACTCTGGTGAAAAAAATGATGACCTCTTCCGTTGCTGGGCATCTCTTTGCCTCCAACATTATAACCGACGAGATGAGACAGCAGATTGAAGCCGAAAAGACCAGTTATGATCGTAACAGAAAGCTAATAAATATCATTCTACGCAGAGGACCAAAAGGTTTTACAGATCTTCGAATGGCAATTATGAAAGCTAACCAAACAGACTCATCCAAGCTTCTCTCAGCCGGTGATAATAACATGTCCGAGTACGAAAAGAAGTTAGCCATGGCCAGGTCGCTGGTTGTGAACATGTCAGAAAAACGAATTATTAAGTCTGAGCCGAAAAGTAACCCTTCAGAACAACAAAACTCACAAGAAGAGCGGTGTAGAATCAGTCTGGATGACTTCAACGATCTTTTCCTTACAGCCGTGCCATTCAAGGGGGATATCAATATTCACATCCGTCACTTTACAGAATCTAACGGTCGTTATTTTGCAACAAAGAAGGGGGTGACATTCCCGTTGTGCCGATGGCTGAAATTTGAGTCTCTTCTACCAGATATCGCCAACTATCTGCAAAACAATGAAGCTGATGTAGAGATGAAATGGCATATTGGAGGGGGTGTCTTCGTCTCTGTTAACCCTGGGTATACCTCAGTAGACATTAGGCACTTTTGGAAGCCAGACGATGCCCTAGAACCGGTACCAACCAGAAAAGGTGTGTCTTTGAACAAATACAAGTTGACTAAATTACTACAAGCCGTTGAAGAAGTACGAGAATATGTTCCCGAATTAAATGATACAGAACTGTGTGCGTTCAGCGAGTCCCATCAAAATCAGCTTGGAATGTTAAGTTGTCCAGAGTGTACTCCTTTTGGATATAATCCGACAGAAGATGTGTCCATGGAATGTAATGTCGGTGACTTACAAGACTCACAGACAATCGAAAGTGATTCTGAATAAAAGTGATATTGAATAAAAAAGAACTCTTAAATTATTTTGTTATGAGTGACTAATGTAAATACTTATATGTATCCTTGTTTACGTACATGTATAATAAATACTTTTAAATTCATAATAAATTATACATCTGAAAAAAATTCTATTCCTGTGTTTGATTTGGTATATAATATAAAACTGAGAGGAAATAATCAGTTAGGTACAGGATGGCAAAGTACACAGACTATTTGAGAAAGCTATACTATACTCCCGGAAATCCAGGTGCATTTGCAGGTCCTGAGAAACTTTATCAGGCTGTAAAAAAGAAGGAAAGCATAAAATTGGAAGAATGAGAATCAGACAATTTCTGAATAACGAGGATCCCTACAGTTTATTAAAACCTATCCGTCGGTCATTTCCTCGCTCTAAGGTTGTAGTGAATACGATTGACTCCATGTGGGATGGTGATTTAGCCGATGTCAGCAACATTTCTTCCGAGAACGATGGTTATAAATTTTTGTTAGTGTTAATAGATATATTCAGTCGCTTTTTATTCATAGTACCTTTGAAAAATAAGCAGCATCAAAACGTCACAGAAGGTTTAAAATCAGTTTTTCAAACAGGACGAAAACCTCAAACGCTCAGAACAGACAAAGGGAGCGAATTTAAAAATCGCTGGGTAAAAGCGTTTTTAAAAAAAGAGGGTGTGCATGTCATATACACCCAGAATGAAACTAAAGCAAACTATGCTGAAAGAGTTATTCGTACCATGAAAAATCTTATGTATCGTTATTTTCTGCAAAATAGAACATACCGTTATGTTGAAGTTTTACAAGATTTAGTGACTAGTTATAACCAGAGACCTCATAGATCTCTAGGGGAGCAAGCACCTGTAACTGTCACCAAGGAAAATGCAGATGAAGTGAGACTCATTTCCTATCTCAATACGAGGAAAAAGAATCCTGTGAGCAAAAACAAGTTGGAAAAAACAATCAAATCGTTTAGTAAAAAGAAAAGGACTAAACCACTTTTTAAGTACAAAATAGGAGATGACGTACGTATTTCACAGCTTAAACATCCATTTCAAAGAGACTACCAGCAAAAATGGACTGAAGAATATTTTAAAGTGTCTAATCGCTACAAGAGAGCTGGTATACCTGTGTACAAAATAAAGGATTTAGCCGATGATCCAATAGAAGGCACTTTTTATGAATCGGAACTTCAAAAAGTCATGAAGTCGGGAGATATTCTGTATAGAGTGGAAAAGGTGTTGAAAAAGAGAAAACGCGGTAATACAAAGGAAGTGTACGTAAAATGGGAAGGATGGCCTAGTAAATTCAATTCGTGGATTCCCGAAAGTTCTCTAGAAAACACCAAATAAAAAACAGTTTTTTTTTCAATGAATTATCATCAGTCAAGATGAGCCTTCGAATGGTGTTGAGGTCTGCAGACAGCTACGAATATTTTGACAATAAACCCAATTGTTTTCGAGTTCACTTGAATAAACAAATTCAATTGGATGGATACTGGACAGTTGCTTTAACAGAATTTACTACAGAGAGTTGGGATCCAGCCAAGAAAACTCCCGATGTGTACATATGCTGTGACATATGTGAGGAAACCATTGTTGGGGGCAAGGACGTACCCCTCTTACGACGAGTTTTTCTTGGAGAAAAACAGGAAAACAACATCATCTACACGTTACCTTATTACCTTCCCGTAAAGATTAGTCAATTACAACAGATCTGTATATATATAACAGAGCAGGCAACTTAGTGTCATTCTTAGACGGACCTGTGAGCGCTACAAAAGGAAGTGTACGTAAAATGGGAAGGATGGCCTAGTAAATTCAATTCGTGGATTCCCGAAAGTTCTCTAGAAAACACCAAATAAAAACAGTTTTTTTTTCAATGAATTATCATCAGTCAAGATGAGCCTTCGAATGGTGTTGAGGTCTGCAGACAGCTACGAATATTTTGACAATAAACCCAAATGTTTTCGAGTTCACTTGAATAAACAAATTCAATTGGATGGATACTGGACAGTTGCTTTAACAGAATTTACTACAGAGAGTTGGGATCCAGCCAAGAAAACTCCCGATGTGTACATATGCTGTGACATATGTGAGGAAACCATTGTTGGGGGCAAGGACGTACCCCTCTTACGACGAGTTTTTCTTGGAGAAAAACAGGAAAACAACATCATCTACACGTTACCTTATTACCTTCCCGTAAAGATTGGTCAATTACAACAGATCTGTATATATATAACAGATAGAGCAGGCAACTTAGTGTCATTCTTAGACGGACCTGTGAGCGCTACACTTCACTTTAAGAAATTCCCTTACGTTTTATAATGAATAGTCAGACGTACATTAGTGACCCTAAAATCTGGGAAGCTTTTTATAAAAACATGGCAGAGAAAAAGTTCAGCCCGTACAAATATAAACCCAAACAGATTGGAAGGGGTATGAGAAAACAAAAATCTTACGTAATTCCCATTAGACCTCATTCACAGTTAGAATCCGTTAACCTTATTCCTCAAGTGACACCCGTGGCTGCCGTGGAAGAGAGAGCCAAATCGGAACATGTAAAGACGTAAAAGAAGGCGTTCCCTTTATCAAGGTCACCAAGGGTATAAAAAGACCATCTGTCATTCCTACTAAAAAATTGAAGACGTCAACATCGCACAAGAGGAGGAAGGGCAAGAAAATCAATCTTGTGAAGAAAAAACCAGTCTCGAAAAAGAAAACAAACGGAAGATCTAAAAAGCGACATACATCTGGAGGAAAAAAGACATCACAAAAGCCAAAAAAACTCTTTAAGATCGATAGTTACAAGAACGTTTTTAAGCAGTGAAGATGGCCTTCTTAAGCAGTGATAATAAAGACATAGCCCAGCCAATGGAACTTTCTCTCTTTGCTTCACCCACTAATCAAGTAGCAGTCGAAAAAGTGTATTTTACTGAAGCCAGACCGATTTCCAGTATTGGAGTGTCAGATACCCCCATAGAAATAGTTGTTTCTGGATCGGGAGCGGAATATATCGATTTAAAAAGAAGTCGATTGTATGTAAAAGCCAGAATTTTAAAAGCGGATGGTTCCTCATTAGCGGCCAATGAGAAGACTGGAATTGTGAATCTACCATTGCAAAGCATGTTTTCTCAGATGGATGTCTACTTAAATAATAAGTTGGTTTCCTTTAATACGAATAATTATCCTTGGAAGGCATACCTGAAAACAGTCTTGTTTGGTGGAAAAGAGGAATTATCTTCCCAAAAGCAGTCCCAGTTGTTTTTTAAGGACGAAGGAAATTTGGGTGACGCGAACGCCTACAATGGTGGCAATGCTGGACTAGTCCTGCGCTATGGCTACACACAGGAAAGTAAAGTATTTGAACTGGAGGGTAACCTGATGGAAGATATTTATACCCCACGCAACAAGTTGCGTGAGGTATAATGTTTTTGACCCGTCCGTCAGTCAGTCAGTGTGTCAGTCAGTCAGTCCGTCCGTCAGTCCTGTTTTTTTGTCAGCGCAACTCCTCATAAACCGCTGCACAGAATTTCGTCAAACTTTGCAGATATTTAGGACACAATGTGTAGATGTGCATATTACCAGGAAATTCCGATTCCTTTATTTTTTCTTGGAATTTCGGCACTTTTCAACTTAGATTTTTGGCCATATCTTGAATATGGAGATGAACAGTTTGTCAGCGCAACTCCTCATAAACCAATGCACAGAATTTAGTCAAACTTTGCAGATATTTAGCACACAATGTATAGATGTGCATATTACCAGGAAATTCCGATTCCTTTATATTTTCTTGGAATTTCGGCACTTTTCAACTTAGATTTTTGGCCATATCTTCAATATAAAGATGAACAGTTTGTCAGCACAACTCCTCTTAAACCGCTGCACAGAATTTGGTCAAACTTTGCAGATATTTAGGACACAATGTGTAGATGTGCATATTACCAGGAAATTCCGATTCCATTATTTTTCTGGGAATTTCAGCACTTTTCAACTTAGATTTTTGGCCATATCTTGAATATAGAGATGAACAGTTTGTCAGCGCAACTCCTCTTAAACCGCTGCACAGAATTTGAACAAACTTTGCAGATATTTAGTACACAGTGTGTAGATGTGCATATTACCAGGAAATTCCGATTCCGTATTTTTCTGGGAATTTCGGCACTTTTCAACTTAGGTTTTTGGCCATATCTTGAATATAGAGGTGAACAGTTTGTCAGCACCACTCCCATTAAACCGCTGCATAGAATTTGGTCAAACTTTGCAGATATTTAGCACACAATGTATAGATGTGCATATTACCAGGAAATTCCGATTCCTTTATATTTTCTGGGAATTTCGGCACTTTTCAACTTAGATTTTTGGCCATATCTTCAATATAAAGATGAACAGTTTGTCTGCACAACTCCTCTTAAACCGCTGCACAGAATTTGGTCAATCTCTGCAGATATTTAGTACACAGTGTGTAGATGTGCATATTACCAGGAAATTCTGATTCCATTATTTTTTCTGGGACTTTCGGCACTTTTCAACTTAGGTTTTTGGCCATATCTTGAATATAGAGATGAACAGTTTGTCAGCACAACTCCTCTTAAACCGCTGCACAGAATTTGAACAAACTTTGCAGATATTTAGTACACAGTGTGTAGATGTGCATATTACCAGGAAATTCCGATTCCATTATTTTTGCCTTAAGAGTTTTGCCTTTTATTGAAGAAACTTTCCAGCTAGGTAATAAGAAACTCCACTGGAATCAGCTTTTTATAATGAAATTCTATGTGAAATATTTTATGACCTTAAAAGACCCCTATTGATTTTGAGATCAAAATATTAATGGTTTAACACAAACACACACTCACACCATCTTCGATAGTTCTCTCCCCCCCCCCCCCCCTTCAAATTGGTGTGCTTTGCCTTAAATAATTTCATAAGTACAGTATATAAACAGATTCATATGACTACATCATAATTTTGTTTCCATCAATTATTTAAATGTGTAAACTGTCATGTGTTGGACATGGACTTACACTCATTAACAAATCGAAATCACTGAGGAATTTAAATAGCAGTTTGTCAGCATGATTCCGGCACTGAATTTCCTGAAACTTTGTAGGTATTTCAGAATAATATATAGATTTGTATATTACCAAGAAATTTTGATTCCATTATTTATCTAGAAACTTCAGCCCAGTTAAATTTGTAACATACATGTACAAAGATTTGAATGTCCTTATATGCAAGAAGTTTTGATGTGATGATTTTTTGCAAGTAATGCCCCTTTTTTGAATTATACTGTGTATTTAAAATGCACTGTGCCATTCATTACGTGTTGCATTGTCGAGTTTTGGGGAAGCGTGGGGTATGTGAGCTTGCTCACTTTTTCTTTCATTTTGACATCGACAAATACCTGATCAATGGTGTAGATATCTACATCAAGCTTTTTAGATCTAGTGCACCTTTTGTAATGATGTCAGCACAGAGCACCCCGGCTTACAGACTGGAATTACTAGATGTCGTGTACAAGGTGGCCAAAGTGCGAGTAGATCCTGGTGTTCTATTGAACCACAGCAAGCAGATAGAATCTACCCCTGTAAAATACACCATCTCAAGAAATGAATTGAAAATGAACACCATTCCTAAAGGATCTACTGAATTTTACTGGGACAACATTTTTCCTCAGGCAGTACCCGACCGCATCGTTGTAGGATTGGTAGATCAGAAAGCTGTAAATGGGGATTACACAACCAATCCGTTTAATTTCGAGCATTTTGGTGTAACGGATGTAGGGATATACGTAAACGGAGAAAGCGTCCCAGGAAGACCCTTAAAAACCGATTTCACGACAGGGCATTATTCAACAGCATATGCTCGACTGTTTGAGGCCTCTGGAAAATGGAGTCAAGACGCCGGTCTAGTAATTACTCGAGAGAACTTTGGAAGTGGATATTCTCTGTTTGTCTTTACCCTAGATCCCTGCGGTTTTGGTGAAGAATATTTAAACCTGATTCGAAGAGGAAACACCAGACTTGAACTAAAGTTCAAACAAGCAACAGCAAAAGCTGCCAACGTTTTGGTGTTTGCCACCTTTTCCTCTCTACTAGAAGTGGACAAGTCCCGGGACATCAATTACATTCAACCATGAATTCAAAACAGCTCCTCGATTTTGTGCACAATGAACCTGTCCTTAAACGATTTGTAAAAGGAGTATATGCCAGTAATACTTTACCGGAAGTCGTGACGCATTACCCTTGTGCCTTCATCATCAATACGCAACCTTTGCTATTTCCAGGAGAACATTGGGTCGCTGTAATCATACACAGTTCCTCGGAGGCCGACTTTTTCGACAGTCTAGGGAAACCACCTGGGAATTACCAAGAGATTGAGAACTTTATTTATAAGAATAGTGAATACTGTAACTTTAAATGTAAACGACTTGAACCTTCCTATTCAGATTTGTGTGGGCTTTATGTACTTGTGTTTTTAATATCTAGATTGTGTCTTAAAATGTCTTTGACACGTGTTTATACTTTATTTTCTAGTAGCATTCAATTAAATGATGACTTTGTACGTAGTTTCATACATGAATTCTTGTATCAATAAACATGATATACGACATGGGTGAGTTCTTATAAATACTCGTTCAGTTTTACATGTCAATTCATTAGAGAATCAGTAGAGGAAAGGGAAACATGGCAACACAGAGCGAATGGTGGAAAACAAAATCCTTACTACCATTTTCAGCACCCACCACAATTTTAATTTGTGGTAGTACGCAAAGCGGAAAGACACATTTCACTAAACGACTCTTGCAAAATGCAGATGGCATGTTTTCCACTTCTGTAGATAAAATCATCTATGCTTATTCTGAATATCAACCTATGTTTGACGAAATGATGTCAAACATACCGAGATTTATTCTTCATCAAGGATTACCCTCAAAGGAAGATATAGAGCAGTATACAGAGAGTGTAAACCACACAATAGTGGTATTAGACGATCTTATGCTGCAAGTTGCGCAATCTCAAGATTGTGTACATCTATTTACTGTGACTTCTCATCACCGTAACGTTACCACCGTGATGCTCTCTCAAAACTTGTACCCTCCTGGTAAATACGCCAGGACCATATCCCTGAACTGTCTAAATGTGATTTTATTCAAAAATTACCGTGATTCCCGCCAGATCATCACCTTCGGATCACAAATATTACCAGGATGTGTACCATTTTTCAAAGCAGCATACGAAGCTGCAACACGTCCAAATTTTGGCTATTTGCATGTGTGTTTAGAACCTACCCAGAACAAAGAATACCAACTGAGATCTCGCATCTTGCCTGGAGAGGACATGGTTATTTATCAACCCCTATAAATACATGTACTTGATCACAATTTGTTCATATTGCAAAAATGAATCGAAGAATACGGAAGCAGAGAGTATTTATACATTTTATGCTAAGTGCAAACAGCACTCAACTGAAATTGATTGTTAAGTCTTTGACTAGTGAACAATACGATGTTATCAGTGAAATAGCCCTGAATATCTACACGGGAACTTATCCTCTGACTAAGAAGTATATAAATCAGTTGAAACCTTACCAATCGTACATTCGATCGCTGGGATCAAGAGAAGTCAGTACGAAACAGAAACGAGGGATTTTATTAAAACATCTGCCATTAGTATCACTGTTACTGAAACCTATTGTTCATCATATTGACAAAAAATGGCGAGAGAAATGATACTAGTACCTAAATTAAAATACGAACATCTTCTTAAAAAAATCGAGGATAAAGAAGAGCCTGTTAAACCAGACAGCATGAATGACGAAAAGGATCAAAAACAAATGTCTGAAAAGACCTTAACCGATACAAAGTTGAGTGAATCAATCAATGACACCTCACAGACAGGGAATGGTTACGTCAGAAGAACTCAAACAATAGGAAAACCTCCTGGTGTGTCCATGAAACGACGCAAGAAACACATTCCTTGGCTTACGTACTGAGTGTTAAATTGGAAGAAAAAGACTTTTTAAAAAAAACAACAAATTTTATTGTATATACTGTAATGCATATTATTGTAAATGATAATAAATACATTGAAATGTAATGTGAATATTAAAATAAAAATGGGTATTAAAATGTACATCTTTATTTTCATGGTTTTAACAAAATCCAAATGGCAGTGTATCTAGATTGGGTAGAATTCTCCTTTTGGTGTATACAATTTGATATCGTTTGGTTTCTACGCGGTGTAACAATTTTCTTTTTCGACTGTCCCTGGATATTTTACAGTGGTTGATGATTTCAATTTGCTTATCTTGTGTTGTACAGATCAAGGATTTGATTGCTTCAAAATTGATCACTTTAGAGTTAGACCAGTTTAATGTAAACCCACGAACTTTACATTCTTCCCTGCCAGAAAGTGTACGGTATGCATAATTTTTGGGACCCCCCGACACAAATTCCACAATATGACCATCTTCTGGTTTGATTTCGTTGGTCAATTCCCCTAAATAGTTTCCAATAGGCAGATAATGTAAGTCGTCCGACTTCTGTGTTTTGAAAATGACACTATCTGTATCGAAATACAGAACGTTTTCCCCCAACCGATCTTATACACTATATAAGCGCAACCGCGCATGCGCAGTGGTGAAACTTGCCAAAAATATGTTTGTTTTGCAATCCGGGGGCATGAACATGGGATGATTACTCCATTCAAATTGAAGAGTGTCCCTGGAAACAATGTGAAAATTATGAGGGACTTTAGTAGGATCTGAGAGAATTTGAAAAAATTTATCAGATTCGGATTCGTGAAAGAACAAAGATTGTTTCATGCTTAGTCTTTGACCAAATTTCCCCCAAAAACTATTGAGACAGAGTTTGGCTAAACAGCGCAACCCTGGATTTTTCTGAATTTTGTCGTACTCTAAATCTATTCCCTCTTTTTCTTTGTATTGCCGAATATATTCTTGTTTTGACTCTTCGCTGTCACACTCGGGAGGAAATCCCGAGGCTTCTTGTTTAATCTTAAGGAACGTATTGACGTACTTTGCAAACAGACCCCCCTCACCCGACGAAGGGTCATATTGCGAAGATTGCTCAAAATGATAGACCTCATACATTTGTTAAATTTGGTACCCTTTTGACACTGCCATTTGGATTTCGGGAGTACACCACGTGCCCGTGATGGCTCTTTCCTCTACAGAACAGGTACAGTCATGCTGATTTTCAGCGTCCGCACACGTTCGGCACAAAGGAAATTTCAGTTTTCCTTGGGACCGGTACGGAAGCACGGGGTGGTACAATTTTCTAGGTGGTACGACTTTGATTTTGGCAAGGCCGAAATAATTTGATACGTCCTGAAAATCTTTTGTGATAATGGTCGGATGACCCACGGGATAACGACAGTATTTATTTGTCCAAGGGTAGAGACTGGTGAAATCGTAATACTGAATGGTTTCGTTCTCTTCAGCTTTATAATGGAGTTTAATGGCATTGGTGCGGCCGCCAAAAAAACTGTCACGGGGATCAAGTCTGTCTTGCAGATCCAGTGTGGACATAAACTGTCGCAAATCAGTGTTTTTCTCCAGCTGGTATCGAAACTGATGCTCCCATACGACGACCAGATTGTATCCAAGCGCTTTGAGTTCTCGTTCTCGCTTTTTGGTCATCTTGAAGAGTTCATCTAATGTCTGGTTTGTCGCAGGGTGCTTGACATCAGATCGATCCTGTTGGAAGCAATCCGGACATCCGTGGTACACACAACCTAACAAAAAACACACATAAGATGTAAAAAGTGTTTTCAACACAAGATTCGCCGCCGCCGCCCCCTCCCCTCCGTTAGGGGCAAGGGAGGGGCAAATTCAATACCAAATGTTGTTATAAGGTAAAATCTCTTACCATAAAATTCGTATATGGTGCCTTTCCCCTTAAGATTCTCGACAAAACCGTCGCATCGGTAATTGGTGCCTGGTACGTGATACTCTCCCCCATTGAGGGCGTGTCGGATATGAGTCGGTGTTCCTCGTTGTCGACTTCGCTCCATGAGCCATTCTAACCACTGGATAGAGATTTTACTATAATTCTCTTTGCTGACGTATCCTTCCGAAGGTACGACGGCAATGGGACTCGTCAATTGTCGTTTTCCTACTTCGGTATTTTCCTCTTTTTCCAGATCACTGAGGGCTACCCATTTTCCATCAAGCCACACCCCTTTAACCCCCTCAAAGTTCTCCATCTGATACCAGGTGGATATCAGGCCCCTCGTGATTTCTACTTTAAGGTTGTGTTTAAAAAATAAAGTTTTATAAATACCCATACAAACACTGGCGATCGTTACTTAATCAAAGAGGTCTACGCCATCTATGGTCGTCGTTGAAATAGTACCATCTGGTTGAACGTGTGAAGTTTCTATTGTCGTGGCCTGGAGAACAGTATTTCGGAAGGCTAAGCATCCCCTTCGCAAGATGTCGACGTCCGAGCGACAATACTTCAACATCTCTTCTTGAAAGTTAAATACTTCAGAACTCTTACTTGCATGCCACGTGACTAATTTCTTTCTCTCTCCCGACGACATGAAATTGTATCCGTAGAATTCTAGAGCCGGATGGGGACCCACGTAAATCTGATGTTCTTTCGTATTAAAAAAACGAGGAAAGAATCCCTTGCTGAGTTCCTCTAAACCAAAAGCTTCAGGGATCTTTGCTAATTTCATAGGAAGGAAATTTAACGAATCCAAAAACGTGAGATTGAGTTTGTTGGCGATGTGCATGTACATTACTTTGGATCCGTTGTAAATTATCTTATCTGGACGAATCGAATGTCGGTCAATGAGAACCTCTAAAATGGGGTACAAGGCAAAACTTTTGGCATTGTGGGCAATTAATATCGTGTTTTTGACGTGTGGCTGGGTTACGTAGGCACAAAACTTCTGTGCGGCGTCTTCACCACGAAAGATTAGTTCCCGGTGACCGCAAGTATCTGGACAGGGAGAACGGATGAATTTTGATTTTTTCATTTGAGAGCACCTGACACAGCGTACACCACACTCGCTACATGTAGAATCTTTGTTTAATTCGTTTTTTTCACAGGCATGAAAGAAGTCTGCAAGACTGCAAAATTGACTATGTTGTTGCAGTCCGCAAGAC